GATTGAACCGCGGTCCCTGTACTTTGCTTTGCTTAGCTTGTTCTAAGTAGGTGCTTTAGACCACTGAGCCATCTCACCAGCCCCAGGAAATCTTAATTTTAACAAATTTATTTATTTTTTATATATTTGGTATAGGGCCTCACTATGCAGCTGGGGTGGGGCCAGCACAGCATGTGGTGCTGGGGCTTGAACCCCAGTCCCTGCGCTTGCCTAAGCAGGTGCTGTTTGCTGAGCTATCTGCTGGCCCTTTTTAAACAAGTTTAAATGGCCACTTGGCTGATGGTTACAGTACTATAGTACTGGGCAGAGCAAGAGGTCAGGTCCCTAAGCCAGAGACAGTGCCAGCACCCTGGGTGCAGCAGGTGCAATTGATGGGCCTGAGTATGGACCTTGCTCCTCCTATTAGCAGTTAAGCTCAGATGCCAGCAGGGACACCTCTTACCCGTAACCCAGGGTGTGACCTGTATGCTGATCCCTCACTGCACCATCTTACATTTTCAGATGCCTGGCAGACATGCGCCTGGACCAGCTCTGTGGTGATGGCCATGAGGTGTGGCTGGAGGGCATCCCGTGGACAGCCTCGAATGACAGAAGCAAGAATCAACAGGCTAGAAGAGGAGGGTGCCTTCTTCAGCATTGATATGATGAGCTTCAGAGAAACTTCTGGGCTGATGAATATCCCAATCAGCTCTGCAGATCTTGCACACTGTGAGAGAGATGTGGAACAAGGTGAAGGAGTTTGAAAACGCCTGCTCACATGCAGCTGCAGCCCTGTAGGTTCTCTGCCCACTAGAGGAGCGCCAGAGGAACACAGCATCTCTCTGCCTCCCGAGACTTGCACAGGAGACTGTCCAAGCAAATGGATCATAGGACTCGTGTCCCTCATCTGATACAGTAACCTAAACTACCTATTGATAAGTGTTAAAACACTTGGCACCTCCACAGTATGGAATTCTACTGGTCAACAGGATCATGGATGAGGACCCTCCTATGGTTCAAGGGGGTCCACATTTGCTCTGTGAGGCTGCTGGGATGGGCAAAGAACACATGAGCATTACCAGGGTCTGCTTGCTGCTAGCACAACCTAGTTATTTCATCCCTTGGAAAATCAGATGGGTAGATGCAAAATAAATTCACTTTTTTTCTATGGAGAAAACAGAGGTTCAAAAGTTGTGCACAGAAGGCATGGTGGTACATGCCTGTAATCCCAGGACTGGGGAGGCTGAGGCAGGAGAATCATTGCAAGTTTGGAGCTAGCCTGGGCTACACAGTGAGTCCAAGGCAAGCTTGAATCATGAGACCCTCTCTCAAAACGAAGCACACAAAGAAAAAGCAAGCAAGCGTGCAAAAGTACGTGGAAAGACACAACGTTCAATAACTAAAAGTCCGGCTCCTTTAACAATAATCCTGACATCCAAAAATCAACTATGTATTCATAAAAAAAGGAGTTTACAAAATCTAAATTGATGAAGGTTTTTGAAAAATAAAAACGTGCCATGAAAGTAGGCTTAAAATGTGGAACTGCAGCATTCACTTGAAGTCAATAAAATGACTCACAACAGGGACAATCAACCCGATTAGAGATGTTTCAATAAAGATGAGGTGGATGTTTTGGCCAATGATCTCATCCTCTCAAGTACCAGGGTGTGTCCTCACGCAGTGACTGCCTGGCAGCACAGAGCACATGCTGGCCAGGGACACGGTATCACAGAGCAAAGGCTGGACAAACACAAGGCTCTGTGCTCTCCCCTGCTCTGCAGCCGGTACTGACCACTAGCCAAGTAGACAACTGCGAAGAGCAAGCTCAGAGGCCACACACTGGTGGTAGAGCTGCCCCAAGGCTCCTGCAGACTCCAGAGGGCTGTGGACTCCCAGGGCCTTTCTGCCCCTTTCTCAGCAGTCTGACCCTGGCGGTGGATGCCACATTGTGCTAGAATCAGCTTAATGACAGGCTTTCCTGAACACACATCATTTCACAAGGAGGCTGCAAGTCAGTGATCCTCAGGGACTAGGTGTGAGAGGGGACAGGTGCTCACTATGGACATGTGTCTTCCACAGCTTGCAGACCCACACACCTGGGGCTCAACCCCCACAGATCCAACCCGAAACAACCACTCACACTGCTGACCACGGCCACCTCCTCATCCGCACAGGCCCTCTGCAGGGTTCTAAGGATGATCTCCAGGTGTTGTGTGATATGGTCCTCAGCGTGCAGGAGCAGCACTGGCAGGAGCTGTGCAGACTTTACCCTGGTCCCCACCACCCAGTCGGTGATGTCGTGACAGATGGCAGGAAGGATTTTGGAGAGGTTCCTGAAGACCAGTTCCCGGCAGCCCAGCACTGGGCGGCTCTCTAGGGTGCAAGAGACAAGAAGATCACAAATAAGATCTCAATGCCATGAACAGAGAAAAGTGGTCTACACATGCTTTACCTGAGGCACACTTAGATCCCAGACGCCCTAAAAATTCAGACCATCTCTCAAGACTGAAATGAAGCCAAGGAATGCTGTCATTTAGTTAAAATATCTGTTTTATAGCTGTGCTGGTATGTGTAGCACAGAAGAAATTACACACACTACTTCCCATTTAGAAAGGTGCAGTTTCCTGCCAGCACTTACCTGATTTTCAGTGACTGAGAATTGCTCTATTTTGTAAATGGAAATGCTTACTACTAAAAGCAGAGTACTACCACATCTTTGTTCCAAAGGCTAATAATACACTAGAGTGATGTAAAAATAATTGAAGTGAGATACTTCATGGCAAACTTTAGAGTTCTCTTGGCTGGTGGTGAGAATTCTTGGGGAAAATGAGAGAAGTATACATTTGAGCTCTGATACAAGGATATACCCTCGAAACCACCCCATGACCACCAAAAGTCCCTGTGCCACTGCAGGCTCAGCCCTTGTCCCAGGCAACCCCTGCCTTCTGTCACTGACTAGACTGTTGTGTGTGCGCCAGGCAAGCACATGCACCCTTGGGACTGAACCCAAGGACTTCGCCCTGAACTATAGTCCCAGATTCCAAGCCCTCCAGCCCCACTCTTTTATTTATTTTTTAGATTTTTTTTTGAGACAGGATCTTGCTATGTAGTTCAGGATTGACCTCAAACTCGTCACAATCCTCCTGCCCCAGCCTCCCGAGTACTGGAATTACAGGTATGTGCCACCATGTCTGGCCCCCTGCCCATCTATCTATCTATTTTGTGGAACTGGGGATTGAACTCAGGCCCTTGCGCTTGCCAGGGAAGTGCTTATTCCTCTGAGCCATCTCCCCACCATCCTGCCTTTTTAAAAAACTGAGATAAGGCCTGTCCAGGTTAGGTTCAAACTTGCCATTCTCTCACCTTAGCCTCCCAGAGTGCTGGGATGACAGGTGTGCACCACTACACCTGGGGCATGTCTAACCTTGCAAAAAACCAACGATTCTCTAGGGTGGTTGCACACTCCAGGTTCCCGCGGGCACTGAGAGTCCCACCCCTCCCTTCACCAACACTGGGGTGCATGGGCAGCCTTCCATTTAAACCCACCTAGGAGGGGATGATGGTTTGTCCTTGTGCTTCCAGTTGTGTTTCCCTAGTAATGCACAACGATGAACATCTCCGCATGGGCTTCTTTATAGCTCATGTTATCTTCCTTGGTGATGTGTCTTTTTAAATCATTTTGCCCATTAAACAATTTATTTTCCTGAGTTTTGAGTGTTTTTCTATATTCCAGAATCAAGTCCTTACACACACATAATTGAAATTATTTTCTTTTTTCTTTTTTTCTTTTTTTTTTACATAAATTAACCCATTTATTATAGGCTAGAGATGTCTCAAATTGTAAGAGCTTCTACTGGTCTTTCAATTCCTTCAGTCTTCTGATGGCTGACTTCACTGTGACCACCGAAGTGGTATTGTAGGTCCAGGCGCCACCAGCCACGGTCTTCATGCAGGAGCCACAGTGCCAGATCC